AGAGACCAAAACAAGATTTTTAGAACAAGGGTCTGTGGATCGATAAGAGGAGTCATAGGGAGCAGGTATAGAAGGCAGTTTTAGCATAAGTTAAAAGGAGGGGTTTTATAGTTTGTGTTCCTGGCTTAGTTACATCTTCCGAATCTTTGCTACACTGCAGGGAGGTCAGTTTATTAAAGCATATTTTTTTCGTACAGATAAGGCAAATCTCTTGATTTCCTATGCAAGGCTCAGAGGGGAATCACTTCTAAGAGGAAGAAATAGCTCAGATTGTGTACACACGCTCTGCACCACTCAACATGTTTTTGGAGAGAGGTGAAAGATAATTCTAGATGCAGACTCATACAAAGCTTCTGTAATAAAATAAATTAATGCTGCTCCCATCCCCCCATTAAGAAAGCTGTTTATCTCCCCCAGGCGTAAGCTCTAGAAGTCTTGCCTTCATTCCCCACTCCAAATCTCTAATTCTCTTGCCCTCCCCCCTCCTCTAGAGGTCCATATATGAAATGCCTCACCTCACTCTTTTTATCTGTCTTCAAACAGCCCAAGAACTGCAGAGTTCAAAGAATCGTAGCCCAAGAGAATCTGAACACGCTGCAGCCTGCAGATAGTACTGCTCTGTAATATACAGCAGTAATATGTATGATTTCTGTTTCCCTTAGCACTCTGAATCTCTTATATTTGACAGTACTCCAAAGGGAAAGGACATGGGTCATGTGTACAGATGTGCAAATGAAGCTCTATGGGTTAATAATAGATATTTGCACCTTTGCAATATATCTTTGTGTGGAGATCTCCAGGACCTTTCTCTAACAGTGCTGGCTGCAAAGAGTGCTTACCTGTCGACTTTTTAGTCAACTAAATTGGATACAGTCATAGGCGTAACTAAAAAGCACGGGGCACCAGTGCGAAAATTGCGATCTACTGCGACTGGCGTCGTTCTGCCACTGGATACCGTTCTTTGTAAGCTACTAACTTTAAGTGGTATACTTAGTTTGGGGTCACGCAGATAAGTAACACATGACTGAAGTTTCAAATATAGCTTCTGTTCAGAGAGATACATAGTAGCAAATCACATATTTATCAAAGGTGCTCAAGAGGTCTAAACTTCTTTTCCGAAAATGGCATTGATTTAATTCATTTTAATCAGCGTCAGAGATTATCCCAATCAGTAAATTAAATATATACAGTGGGACCTCAGTTTACAAATTTAATGCAAACGACAAAGCTCAGCTTCCCACCTTTCCACAGCTTGAGAAATGCACCAAAAAGTCCCAAAACAACTGCAAACAATTTCCAGAATGGCTCCAAAACTCGATGCAAAAGCTGCTCCAACACCTCCACACTCAACGCCACGTGCTACCCACAGGCTCCAGCATGCAGAGGGCGCATGCTATAAACATCCCAGGTGCAATGCATCCTGGGGAAACTTGCTTTGTATTGGGAAATTTTTTTGTAAACCGAGGCTTTATTTTCAATGGATTTTAATTTGTAAACCGAAAATTTTGTAAACCAAGGTCCTCCTGTATATATATTTTTAAATAATTAATCTACAAAATTCCCCATAAAGTCTATAGGAATTTTTGTAGATAAATCATTTGAAATGTTTTTTCTAACATATTGTAATCATTTCTGACGCTGATTTAAACAAATTAAATCGAGGTTCATTTTTAGTGACGGAAGTAGCTGTGCAGTTAAAGAGAGTTCCACAGGATTCTTCGCCACCTTTCAATCCAATAGGAAGTGGCAGTTAGTGCTAAAGTGTTACTCCAGGCACCACGACCACTTCAGTGATTTAAAGTGGTCATGGTCTCTGAAGTCTGTATGTTGAGTGTTTTGCCGTAAAGCGCTGCATGTATCAAGTTTGGGCCTCCTGCGGCAGTGTCATGGGGCATCATCAACACTAGCATGACAATGTGTGGGCAATCCTCCACAGATGACCATTCGGAGGGAGTTGCACAGAACATCCCTTCCCACTTCTCACACTTTGTAGCATGACTACCTGGGCAGACAATCTAATTTTCCTCTATTCAGGTCTCACTGGTATATCACCCGCTGCCAGGGCCGGCCATAGACCCTTAAGCGCCCTGTGCGAAAAAATTTTTACAGCCCTCCCTCCCCCCGTCATCCATGTATAGTGTGTGTGTATAGGAGTGTAGTGATTGTATAGGGGATTAAATTAATAATTTAAAAACAAATATTCATTCCTCCTTTCCTGTTACCTAGTTGGGAGAGGGGCATGCTGATCTGAATCTGGTCTGCTCCTCCACTGGGTACAGACCATGCATAACTGTCTCACAAGCTCAGGGACTTGCAGTGACCTCTGGTAATCTGTGACAGCGCTCTGATTATCCCGAGCTAGGAAGACCGCTACTTATGGTCTGCAGCAAACAGAAGTGCCAGACTGCCTCCCCTACATTACAGCGGAGCAGACTAAGTATGTCACATAATACTGTTAGTGGTTTTGCTTTGGAGCTCTGGATTATACTTATTTACCTTGACCTCTTTGGAATAATAATTTGTAGTAATGCACTGCTTCTCCATTTATCACAAAGCTCCACAACAATGAAAAACTCCCAGTAATGTGGAGCTCTGTGACAAGATCATACACTACCCAACAATACAACTCTAAGTAATGTGTCTATTAGTTTATCACTGAGCTCCCTAACTATAACACACAGAGTAATGTGCATTTTATATACCAGAGCTCCACTGTAATACATCTCCCTATAATATGACTTAATGTTTGTGTTGTCTGTGCATGTGATAGGTGTGAAAAAAAATAATTATACGCTCATATGCAGGGGTTGAGTAAAGGCACGGGGCTGAGGAAGGGGACAGGGCCTGAGGAAAGGGACGGGGGCAGGGGCTTAGGAAAGGGATGGGGGCTGAGAAAGGGGTCAGGGCTTGAGGAAGGGGGACAGGGACTGAGAAAGAAGGACAGTCACTGAGGAGGGGGAAAGGGCCTGAGGAGGTGAACAGGGGCTTAGGAAGGGGGACAGGGCCTGAGGAGGGGAACAGGGGCTTAGGAAGGGGGACAGGGACTGAGGACGGGGGCTGAGGGGGACAGGGCTAAGGAAGAGGGACAGGAGCTTAGGAGGGGAGACGGGCTGAGGAAGGGGGACAGAGCTGAGGAAGTGGGACAGGAGCTTAGATGGGGGGGCAGGGGCTGAGGCAAGGACAGGGGCAGAGGGAGGAAGGTAAAGGGCCTGAGGAGGGAATAAAAAAAAAAAAAGTAAAGTTCATTCCCCCCTCCCTGAGGCTTACCTTGCGCCAGGAGAGGTGGGACAGGATCTGGAGCCTGCAGTCAGTGGAGTCAGCTGGCCTCTCCTGATGATGTCAGGAGGAGGGGGCATAACTTCCTCTGCTCTTCTCCCAGACCATAGACATAGAAAACATAGACGCTGCACGTCTATGGAATTATGTGTTGTGCGGCGAGGAATGTGGCAGCCATCTTGGACCGGTCTCCGCTCTACTGAAGCTATTGAAGAACCCTTAGAAAGCCCATTTCACAAAAGGTAAGTGAAGGACTTGGGGCACTTAATACCCCTACCCCTTTACACCCCTAGTCCTACCCCTTAATACCCTTACCCCATGTCATTAATACCCCTACCCCTACAGTGTTAATACCCCTATCCCAGCACACATAGTCATTAATACCCCTACCCCAGCACACATAGTGTTAATACCCCAGCCTATCCCAGCACACACAGTGTTAATACCACTACCCCAGCACACATAGTGTTAATACCCCTACCCCAGCACACACAGTGTTAATGCACATAGTGTGCTGGGGTAGGGGTATTAACACTGTAGGGGTATTAAGTGCCCCAAGTCCTTCACTTACCTTATGTGAGATGAGCTTTCTAAGGGTTCTTCAATAGCTTCAGTAGAGCGGCGACCGGTCCAAGATGTCTGCCGCATTCCTCGCCGCTCAGCACAGAATGCGGTTTCTATGTGTTCTATGCCTATGTCCCAGACTCCACAGCGGTTCTGGGAGAAGAGCAGTGAAAGTCACGCCCCCTCCTCCTGACATCATCAGGAGAGGCCAGCCGACTCCACTGGCTGCAGGCTGCAGGGAGAGAGGTGATTTTAGAAAACCGAGTCCCCAGCCACAGGCAGGGGATTTGAAATTGTGCTCCCCCCTGCTCTGCCGGCCGCTTGTGCCAGCCCTGGGTCCTGCAGGACTAGTAATGGGAACGGCGTTCCTGCTGTGGAAAAAGTGCAGGAGCGCCGTTCCCACGCGTTCCTGTAGGACTTGAGCCCTGGCTGTGTGTGATATTTGTAATGGGTGTATTATGTGTGTGATATATGCGTGTATTGGTTGTATGTGATATTTGTGCTGGGTTTATTGGCTGTGTGTGATGGGTATTTAATTCAGATAAACATATGCATTTAGGCATGTGTGTGAATGCAGGTGTATATTTTTGCAGAGTTATGTGCACACAGTTCCACAGTCAGATGCACACAGTTATACATATAAAATGTCAAATCCACCACATGCACACAGTCGCAGGCAGATAGTCACATATACAGGATCAGGCAGAACCACACAGGTACACTCAGTCACACATACACAGTTACAGGCAGATAAACACACTCACACACAATTACAGGCAGTCACACACACAGGTACAGACAGTAACATACATACAGCCATGTAGCGGATGGCACTGGGCTGTCCTGCAAATGTCTGTGAAATAATTGCATTCGTGTGATCTGTTAGTTTCCTATGTGTTTTAAAGCCTTGTATTCTTGTGATTGTTCGGTAGTTTCGTTCCCTTAGTTTATTCGAATGAAACTACTGAACAACCAGACCTCCCCTGTGTGAAGTGTGTCCTCAATTACCCGTTGCAACATTGTTGCGAACAGGTAATTGAACAGTAAGTAACCGTCCTTTGTTCTCGGGGGTGGCCGCCATTCGACAAACGAACACGTGGCGGCCATTTTAAAACTCCCGAACAGCGGTGTTTAGCCGTCGAGTGTCTGGAACTAAAATCGGACACTCGAGTAGGCGAACACCGCTGAGACCTCCACAGCCCTGGTCCGTTCGGTTCCAAAATACCGAACGGCCCCTCGTTCGGTAGATAGAAAATACCGAACGAGGGGATTCAGGCGAACCCTCCCTAGCCTCTATAGCTAGAGGTTTTCGTGTATTTTATTCCCTTATGCCAGGACCGACCGCAGGGCCCATTCGCATGGAACCGGATTCGGCTATCTCAGTTCGTGCGGTCGGTCACTTCAGTCCCTCCATACTTTTCCCGAACCCCTGGTCTGATCTGGGTGATTTTTGGATATGTTGGTCACCCAGATCAGGGGTATCCGGGGATGTAGGATTTAAAGAGGTACCCCTACGTTTAGGGGTACATCCAGAAACGGGGGGAATTGGTGTACTGGATAAGGGGATTATGATGCTGGCTGAGGGGAGGAGATGTGTGGGAGGTTACCAGGACAGGATTGGCTTCTGTAATAATTAATGTAATCCCTCCCTTGCATGGGAGCATGCTTTATAAGGAGACTGTGATTAAAGGCTTGTCAGTTCTGCTCCTGAAACTGTGTGTCGTCCAGTTACTGGGATTGCTGTGGGGAGATTGCTGTTATTTTACCTGCTGGAAACTTTGCCTATGGATTTATTATTTACTTGTTCCTGAGCCTCCCTTGGATTATAAACGGAGACAACCTGGGGAATATTGCATCTCCGCTACAAGCCATCCATACATTCAGTCTTATATACACACACTTACATGCAGTCACACACACACACAGGCAGACAATCACAATTAGTTACCTCTGTTCATTATAGAGGAGTAGAGGCAGTGCAGCTCCTGGAGACTGGTTGTTTGGGGAAGCAGGGACTCATTCCTGCTTCCCCTGCAGCAGTTACCCAGCACTTTTTAGCTCCGCCCCGCCATCACTTTAGCTCCGACGCACGGTAAGCTCCGCCCCTGCCGCAATATTGTGTGTTTTTTTTTATAATCCTGGCCGGCAATGTGTGAACTGTTTTGGCCGCATGGCACCCCCTGGTCCCATGGCGCCATGCAGCCAACAGCTATCCATGAGTGGTTCACTGGCTTTGCATCTTTTCCTAAGTTGTGTTTCAAAGCTGTTGTATACAGCAAACACAGACTCAAAGGAATATATGTTTAAAATGGAATGAGGCAAAAATTTGATTCTTTGTTAAACTAATTTGCATATGCCCACCCAGAATCCTTTGTGGCAGTAACTTCACTGCACATTTGTGATTTCTGTGGGAAAAGCAAGTCTTATGGCTTGACTGGTGTGCAGATTTTTGTTTAACATTGTATTAACTATATATATATATATATATGGAAGGCGTGGCCTGAAGTTGTGGGAAGGGCTGGGTTACCCTTCTTAAGGGACTCCAGACCCTTCCCTCACTACCTGTTAGGTGCGACGCATTCTCACGGAAGTCTTCGTCACTTCCGGTTTTCGGACAGCAGTTTCCGGCGGGCTCGCTCGCACGCGTCAGGTCGGGCAGTTCTCCGAAGCATCCAGCACTACATCCGGATACCACGGGCGGGAGCACGCTAGGTCAGGCAGTCGGCGGAAAAAAATTTTCACACGGCAAATCGTAAGTTAAAACGGCCGTCGCAAATTTGGCGGCGCGGCCGTTTTACGTCATCACTAAGCATCAATACTACACGCTCACAATTTCTATTGTAATACTATGTTATACAACAACCTATTCACAACTTGGTCACATTATAAGCACTCTTATGCTTATTTCTTACGTTAATATTATTCCTGTGTCCATTCATTACAACGCTGTTACCTAAAAGCATACACTAGGCACCAGAGCGACCTCTGGTGTCTAAAAAATGGTGATTTTGAATTCTTATACCTGTTCTGTCATTTATGCTATTTTAAAATTGCAGTTATTAAAGCAAGTTTGGCATATGGGGTTACAATCAGTAGTATGTACAGATACGTTTTATATGGGGCACGTATTTTACAATTAGGCTGCTAACCTAACAATGACTACGGAACTTGGTATTGGGAATATATATATATGCATGATTAGCACTTAAGATGTCGTGTAAACTCTTTCAGTATTTTCTGCATTCCCACGGTGGGCAGCTATTCTAACAACTTGCTCAGGACTTAGGTCCCTTCACTCGAGTTTCTACTTAACAGTCACCCTACGCCAGGGTCCTCATATATGTTTTCTGTATTTTAGGTATAGGCATCCTTGCTCTTGTTAATTGGTGCCCAGCCCTCTGCTAGGGCAATATTGCCGGTAGGTATCTGAATAACAGGGGACTTAGGGGTTATATTTCTGTGCCCATACAAATATATATTACTTTCATAGGTGACTACAGATCGTCTGTACCTCCTTTTCCTCATTTTAGCTGTCAAACCGCTCATCAGGTACGTCATATCTTTTTCGACTATTTTCCCCATACCTTCCCTTTCGGCTTAGTACAGATTTACTGGCTTACAATAAATAGGACCCACTAGCTACGTTTTCTGGCCTCTTATGCCTTCGTTAGTGGTCCCGCGACGCCAACACCCATCCTCATTTCGGAGGTACGGCATTCCCTCGGGCCATTTCATAGCTAGCCGCCTCGCTTAGTTGCATAGAGAGGGCCTCACTTGTCACTCCCATTCTGTCTTATGCCTTTACAAGTCACAGAGAGGCCACCACCCTGCCATAATGCCAATGGCCACGTTTTCCACACGCGCCAAATCATAGATAGTGCCTCTCAAGGCCGCTTGGCTACTAGCAGGGCCTCACCTGTCACGTTACTTAATAATTCTTTGCCGCTTGGCATTAGTTATCATAAGCCAGTTGGATAGCACCCCAGGTAACATGTTATTTTATGTTGTAGCATGTCTCAAGCTCTGGAAGGAAGGGAAGTTGAGTCCTTACCCAGTACACCAGCTAGATCAGTCACGCCGTCTCGGGGTGACGACATCGCAAGCCCTGCCTCACTCAGGGCATGGACTATTCCCAGGATCACGGCCGAATTAAGGAAGAGAAATATTCCTTTCCCTGCTACAGCTAGGAAAGCAGAACTGTACAGATTGCTGAACACACAGACTGATAACGCGGGGGCGGGTGAAGGGTCCAGTGGCACCCAGTCTTCAGATCTGAATACGATTCTGTCCTCAGTTCTGACCTCTTTGGGGCGTATTACTGACAAGCTAGACAAAATGGATGCAGATAGCCAGCAAAAGTCACTGGCTGCTGCAGTGGATCCGGCCGCTTCGGTCCATTTGGACCCCCTACCGGGTAATTTACAACATAGGTTAAAAGACCCACATATTATTAACCCCGCACACATGGTGCCTGCTAAAACAAAGAAGGACATCTTGGAGGGGAAAGATATCAATTTGGTTTCACTTTTGATAGCCTCACAAGATGTCCTAGAGAATAAGACCTACGCATACGGTGATGTGTTAGTAGTATTGAAGTCCAGAGACCCCAGGTTGAATCAGAAGCTATCAATTCCAGAATTTGTACTGGCTTTCGGTATATACAGAGATGTAATATGCTCGGTATACCCGGATAGGAGGGAGGAATTGGACCTGTATCTCCACAAGCTGGTGGATATGGGGCATAAGTACGGTGGTACGTCTTTTTACGACTACCACCGTGCCTTTTCCGCGAAGGCATCGGCAGCCCTTTCACAGTTCTATTACCAAACGGATTGGGGCGTCCTGGATACAGAGCTGTTTTGCCGACACTTCGCGGGCCTAAAAACCCCAGTTTGTGCCATTTGCTCGTCCAATTCTCACACGGCTAATCTGTGCCCTAATTCTCCAGAGGTAAACGCTGTTTTTCCACCTCCTAATGTAGTACCCACAGGGAGACCTGGCAAGGTGCTTAAAGATAAACTAGGCCGTGACATAGTGTTTTTGGGTAAATCGCAGGTCTGTAACAATTTCAACTCAGGTTCCTGCGGTTACAGTGCCTGCAGACTTCTCCATGTTTGCTCACTATGTTTCAGAGTTCACTCCAAGGCAATGTGCCCAAATAAACTATACCCTAAGCAGTACTTATCGTCTCTTCATGTCTCCCTACTGAAACAACTTTTGCGGGATCACCCTTCCCAACATCTCGTTGATTTTTTGGTGACAGGGTTTAAGATGGGGTTTCACACGGGTATTATTCACATGCCCACGGGGATCCTAGAATGTAATAATTTGCAGACAGCCTTGGCAGCACCCAACACTATCGACTTACTCCTACAGAAGGAAATAGACCAAGGTTTCTTATTAGGCCCTTTCAACCCCCCGTCTTTCGCAGTTTGGAGGACAAACCCCATAGGACTGGTCACCAATAAATCCTCCAATAAACAAAGATTAATTCTCGATCTGTCCGCCCCCCATGCATCTCATACCCCAAGTCTAAATTCACTAATCCCATCTGAGGAGTTTTCCCTCCAGTATGCCACCATTGATCATGCAGTCACAGCCATACTCTCAGCAGGGGTAGGGGCATGGCTGAGTAAAACTGATATTGCCAATGCTTTTAAGCTGCTCCCTATCCACCCATCCCTATGGCATTTGCATGGTGTTAAGTGGCGAAGTTCATATTACTTCTTCACGCGTCTCACGTTTGGCTCAAAAAGCAGCCCTAGGATTTTCGATATCTTCGCGGAGACGTTGTGCTGGATGCTGCTTAACATCTGCAGATGTCCCACAGTTATCCATTACCTGGACGATTTCCTGACCATAGAAAGTAACCTAGTACCTCCCAGTAGTCTCCAGTCTATCACAAAACTGTTTACAACTGTTTAGGAGTGCCTATTTCACCTACCAAGACTGAGGGTCCGGATACTATCATCCACTTTTTGGGGGTGGTACTGGACTCTGTACACATGCAAGCTAGCCTACCCAGAGAAAAGATTGAGCGCATCCTGGCAGCTATCGACCTTTACTTAGGAGGAGGCTCATGCAATAGGAAGGAGTTGCAATCCTTGTTGGGTTCTCTAAATTTCGCTATGAGAATCATTCCACAAGGTAGAGCATTCATTTCAAGGTTACTTAGCCTGTTTCCAATGTTGCAATCTGACACCTCCCGCATTACTTTAGACGTACAGGCCACCGCTGACCTACATATGTGGAGGGAGTTTTGCAAAATTGGAACGGGAAAAGCATGTTTATACCGGTTTGGTCAGAGAAATCGGAGTCAGTCTGGACGGATGCCGCAGCCACCTCAGGTTTTGCAGCAATATGGGGAAATGAATGGATGTGGGGAGAATGGCCTAGGGAAATTACAGAGATTCCCCGGTTTAAGGACACATCAGCCTTGTTTGAGCTCTATCCTATCTTAGCGGCAGCAGTTAAGTGGGGAGCAAGTTGGTCCGGGAATACGGTTCGTTGCTTCTCGGACAATATGGCAACATGCCATATTGTAAACAAGGGGCGTTCCTCTTCCCTCACCATCATGCGTTTCATGAGGACTCTCACATGGCTCGCTGCAAAACACAGTTT